ATAATTTTTGACAATCAGTACAGTTCGCATTTATATCAACGAGCGGCTTTGCTAGCTCTAATTAGATTTGTTTTCGTTTGTACTACATATGTGNAATAGTACAAACTTTTATCGATCAAGTTACACAATAGCAAAATAAAAGATGATCGACTCGATCGACAAATTTCTATTCTACTGCCAGTCGACACTCGCAATAGGGGCCATAATTTTTGACAATCAGTACAGTTCGCATTTATATCAACGAGCGGCTTTGCTAGCTCTAATTAGATTTGTTTTCGTTTGTACTACATATGTGCTTATATACATTAGTGTGTCCATTATTTACCAAGTTAGTTTTTTTTTTTGCGGCACCCTCTTAATTTTTAGTTTATGACTTAAAAAAACTATCAGACTCAAATAAGCCCTTAATATTCATATTAAATGCTGCCACAAAGACGATGAATTTCCTATTTAAATAACATGGAATTTTTGCACACTTTACATTTAATTACATATTTTAATTTACATATTTTATAGGAAATTAAACTCTCTACAAAAATGCTGTCTTGATGATTTTTCGATAAATTCACTTGTTTAAAAGTTATTCAAAGTTAAAGTTGAACTTATAGTAACTTTTTAAATTTTTTCACTCTGACCGGAAAATTATTTTTATTTATATAAATATGAATATTTTATCGCTGAAAATATTAAATTTTATTTGTATTATATGTAAAGTTATGATGGAATATCCAGAAAAATAATGGAATATCTGGAAAATAATGCGACTAATAGTTTAAGTTGTTCAAAATTTTGCAATTTATTGGGAAAAATGTGACAAATTAAATATAGTTTTTAAAATAAAATTGATTTATGAAATTTATTTTAATAAACATTCCTTGGTGACACTAGGACATTTTTTTATATGCACTTACAATTTGAATAACATACTGTTTCTGATCTTCATGCTTAGCTACTATATTGATATATTCTTCAGTCAGTTTGACAGCTCTCTCTGCCATATCATTGACTACTCGAAGGTGTTAAACAACTTCTAAGCCTCTCAAATACTCGGGATTCTCTGACCATTCACTTTGATCTGATTGAAGAAAGTTTGTGTTAATACCAAATCTTTCAAAAAATTTCACAGAGTTAGAATCAATAAAGTAATTAATGTTTTTGTTCAGAAACCATTTAAAATCGTCTGAGTTAAAAATAAACCGTTTAGGCAACTCAAATTGATTCTCATCACTTGATCTCAAAGCCTCAACCATAACTGATTTTTGAATTTTGCTAAAACTGTTTCCGATAATTGTTGATCGATTGCTCGATATTTGTATATTGTATTTTAATGAACTCAAGATCCTAGTTCGGTGCAATTGTAGCTAAAGGAGCAGTATACCAGAATGGAACATACACAAATACGATAAACAAGGAAATTTCTAATAAGCTTTTCTCATATTTCTTAGTTAAATCAAAGCAATCTCGAAAAATATAAATTTTTAAACAATAAATTGCTTTGGACATCCATCGAGCATGATGGAATGCTCCAGGTTTATAAAATTTGATACTGTCAGAGCCCATTGTGCGTAAGACCTTACTTAGTTCCAAAAGTTCTCGATAGTCATCACGTGGTAAAAGAGTATTCAGAAAATCATCAATTTTTGTCGTAACTTCCGGTATTTTATCTGGTAGTATCTTCTTTATTTTATTTTTATGTACAGACTTATATTTTGTTTCATCGATAGAACTCCATTGATTTTGAAATTTTTTAAATAATAGTACATTTGGCCCGATTGTACCTGGCATTTTAGTAGAGAATACGCAAGATAGTACTAATTCGTAGATGTGATGTCTGCACGGAAGGTATAACAAATCTTCTCCAAGTTAACGTCCTAGAATCACGGCAGCTCCATTTTTCCAACCGAGGTTAGAATTAGTAGTATCGCAACAAAGCGCTTTAATGGAGTTATTTAAACTCCATTCACAAATAGTGTTAAAAATTTCATCTGCCTGAGTAGAACCACATCCATCAGGCAATGCAGGCACAACAAGGAGTTTTCCTTTTCCATTATAATTAATTAAAATAGGCAGTCTTTCAATTCTCTCACACGTCATAGTACCAATTTTCCGTCCCAGTGTATAACAGCAGCGTTAACTTCAGTTTCGTTGAAGAGAACTTTAATTTTTTAAGCCATTTTCTCTCGTAAATTAGTTCTTATCTCATGAAAAGAGCTTTTATTTAATACGAGATTACGTGGATCAATTCCCATAGCTGGTGCCAGAGCTGAAACAAGACGAACTGATTCTCTGTAAGAAATATTACAGCTGTCGAACGCCGCAACCACATCTTCTGTAAGAACGTTAATAGTGCCTCTAAGATTTTTTGATTCATAATACCACCCAGCTGCTTCAAATTCGGACAAAGAAGTTGATTGTGTGTTGCTCAAACTTTCTCCACTAGAATTGATTTCATTGACTGTTCGTGAAGTACTTGGAGTATCTAAATTTGTTAAACGATAGAATTTAATAATATTTTAAATGTTTAAAAAGCATTAAATCTTACCAGAGATTTTTCTGGGCTCGTTACAACGTGAGATGTTGCTGTGAGTAAATGAGTTGAAGAGGAATTTTCGGGGAATTCGTCGTTAAGTTGAATCTCAGTATTAAGCTCAGGAGATGAAATGAGAACACCTATAATTTAATTTAGAATTAATACATTTTAAGGAAAAATTTAGTTTCATTTCATCGTCATTTTCAAATTACCAGGTACCGGCGACAAGTCAATATTCGTTGAATTAAACTTCAGATGTAACATCCTCTGAGTTCGTTGATCAATCAAAAACTCTGCTGTCTCTTTATCGATCATTGCAAAGGTATTACCATGAGCAATATCGAATAATTTTTCAAGATTATTGCAGACAATTTGCTCTTTTCGTTCATTATTTCGACTAACAGATTTTTGCGCATCTCTGTAGTCGGTATAAAGCTTAATTAATTTTGCTACACACCGTGAATTTTCTTGAGTGGGAGTTTCTGCTTTTTCCCAAATTTGTTTAACTTCAGACACAACAATTGAACAACTGTCATTTACAGATTTGTTAAGATCTCTTGTATGATGAAATAATAATTGCAGAGCTTCTTTATTAGTTGATAATTTTTTTTCATTAATGGTATCAATTGTTTTATCGATTAGAAATATTTTTTTTCTCAGATCCATAGTTGATTGTTACTCATCGAATTCAATAAAAGAATGAAATTTTAGGTTATAACTGGTGACAAAATTGTTAGTATATTTTATAGTGTTTGGTATAAGTTCAATTGACACATTTATATTTCAAAATTCTCACTGATAATAATTTTGTACCTACATCACTGATCGCACATAATAATTTTAATTACTGATGATAATCAAAACAACTTCCACAACGTNGACACTTCTCTACCGACACCGTCGGTCAAGTGGTGCACTCGTCGACGTTAGGTATATTTGGCCGACTGCACCCCAAAATTTCTGGCAGAAATTAGTTCACAGAGAAAATGCGCCTTCTCAGTTATAAACGTTCTCTGGTTATACTATAGAAATTTTTGCATGACCACTAACAACCAAAGAGTATAGGATGGAGGAGAAGCAGCCAATGAATTTAAAAAAAAATACTGCTGAATAAGTTTCAGCGCCTCTACAGAGTAAGGCATTCAATAAAATCTCAAATTGGCGCCACAATTCGATTTGAAAAATTTTATGTATAATGACGATAAAAAACGAAATAAAGATAACAAGTTCATTTGTCTTCTTTGTATTAGTTGATAATCATAAACAAAATAAAAAAATAGAAAAATAATACATATTTGAAAAATTTTATGTATAATGACGATAAAAAACGAAATAAAGATAACAAGTTCATTTGTCTTCTTTGTATTAGTTGATAATCATAAACAAAATAAAAAAATAGAAAAATAATACATATTTGAAAAATTTTATGTATAATGACGATAAAAAACGAAATAAAGATAACGGTGACAGGTAATAAGATCAACGGAAATAAGGTCAATTGACTTTATTTCCCACCCTGGTGCGAAATAAAGTCAATTGACATTATTACCTTTTTAAAAACGAAATAAAATCCATTGACATTATTTCTCTTTCAAACATTAAATTTGCTTAGCTTCGCGGCGGCCGGCGTCAGCGCGCCATACCGCGCTCGCGCCCCACGTACCCCGCGCGACAGGCGCGCACACCACGTCACGCTACGCCGCTGCCCCCGCCCCCCTTCCCGTCTCCCGCCGTGCTGTAACGCAGGTAGATTTATTTTTTGTATACGTTGAAATAAAGTTTTTATATATTTTAAACATCGAGGGCTTATATTCAATAATACCCTCTATCTGCAGACTTTTAACAAAGACACCTAAGCTTTAACTGTCATCGGTGATATTAATGCTACCTTATATAACGACAGGTAATAAGTCCCAGATGGTTTCTAAAATCACAAATTAGTTTTTGTGGAAATTGCAGATAGAGGGTATTAATGAATTCAAGCCCTCGATATTTCACATTTTTATATTTGTAAGTTATTGGAAGCAGGGATGCCAACTTGGCTCAAACCGTGCCATTTGTCCCTATTTTACTTCAAATGGCACTTAATTTTTCAACTTGGCGCAAAGTGCCAAAATGGCACTTTTGTAAAAAAAAATAACATTTCAATACATTTTTGTGAAATCCTTTGCGTGCACTTCTTTTTCTCAACTAGAATTTTCTAATTTATAAAGGCTATTCAACTGGTTTATCTTATTTTATCATTGCACTTTTGTTTGGAAAATGTAGCTTTATTTTATTGCTAAATGTGAATGATTAAAAGGAATGACACACCTTTTTTGGTACTTTTATTTTTCTATTTGGCACATTTTTGCACTTTTTTATCCTCAATATGGCACCTCATAACTGAGGATAGTTGGCAGCCCTGATTGGAAGATTTCTGCTGTGTTTTGGGGCAACAACTTATCTGCAGTAAAAAGCATATAATTTTTGTGTTTCAAAAGTGCGTGAAAACCAATCAATTCACTTATATGATCTCGGTTCCGATATTAAATAATCAATAATTGTTTATACCCGCATTTTGGCACATTGGCTCGTTGAATGTGCCATCTAATAAATAGTGTCGTCATTCTCCTTAGCTGCTTTTAAATGATGTCGTCACAAATTGCTGGCGGAGACATGAATACAGTGTAAGAAAATTCTTTTTCTATAATTGTTTCCTTATAGAAAGGTTGGTTTCTTTTCCACCTTAGACATTCCGAATTCGTTCAAAATATGCTAATTTAAAACACAGAATTCTTTCAGTGCTCCTCCGGGGTTTTTGGACATGTACTGTTTCTTCAATTTAATAGTGTTCGCTTTATTTTTGTGGAAACGAAACATGTTTTGCAAGTTATGGATCATTTTTACACTCTTTCTTCAAATATTTCTCGTATCGCAGCTGTGCGCAGGCGTTTAGTTTTTCCGCATCGTGTTTTTACATTATCGTATTTTAATTTTTTTTTAATAAAATCAATTGGTGGTAGCTCATGATTGTGTGTGGATTAATATCACAACACCGAGGATTTGGCAATAACCTTTTTCGTATATTAAAAAACAACACTTACGGGACAATTTTTATTGTAAGAACAACATTTTTTTCTATGAATCGACATACTTTAAGCATTGTTGACGCTATTTCCATTTGAATGAGGAAATAGCGTCAATGACTTTATTTCCAATTTTTTGTTGACTCTATTTCGCTTTTGAAAAGGTAAATAAAAGGTGCGAAATAAAGTCAATTGACCTTATTTCCATTGACCTTATTACCTGTCACCGACAATATGTATTAAATAACACATCGAAATGAGNTTGAATGAGGAAATAGCGTCAATGACTTTATTTCCAATTTTTTGTTGACTCTATTTCGCTTTTGAAAAGGTAAATAAAAGGTGCGAAATAAAGTCAATTGACCTTATTTCCATTGACCTTATTACCTGTCACCGACAATATGTATTAAATAACACATCGAAATGAGTAATTTCAGGGTCTGAATTATATCAGAATCATCGTATCCGATATAGAAAACTTTAATAGTCCTAGCTAGCTACATTGTGAAATAATCAGATGACATGAGGGCACTAAAAAAAATTTAACATATGTAAACTAAAATTGTATTAACATAATAAAAATAATGATTTGGCAAGTTCTTATCGAATTTAATGTAAAATTTAAACGTTCTTAAGATAATACATATATTAATTATTTTTAAAAGGTAAATGTTAATACAACTATTTTATTTATAATCACATTATAATCTCCCACATCAAAAAACTTAGAATTGGGTAACGCCGCTTCGAATTTTTCACAATTGAGCAATTGTCAAAAATCTGCTTTTTAATCAACTACCTTCTTTTTGTATCATGGTTACAAGTAAACATCATTATAATATAACTCGCGAGAAATTTTTTCTCTCGTGTAATTGCCATTGCCAACGAGTCCTGAGAGCAGAACTGTCCATTCCCACGACAGCCGGTTCTACGTACCGGAATGACTCGGGTTTTACCCGACCAAAGGCTGTTGTTTCGGTGATCTAGCCCCGTTTACGAAGTATCTCAGAAGTTGGTCGTCCATAGGGCTACATTTGCTACGTATTCTTCTGCTCAGGGCTGGCATCGAGTCAAACCCAGGGCCAGAAACCTATACCTGCTGTGTATGCCAGAGACGACTACACCACAATTCCACCTCAGTCAATTGCAATGCTTGCGACGGGTGGAGTCACCCCAGAGTCTGCTCAAGACTACGGACCCATCGGCAGTGGACCACATCATTTGTGGCCCCCAGTCCTCCTGAGCAGCTCAGCACAAACACCACAGCACCACAACGGAACAGCACAATAAACCACACCACAACCACGACAGACTATACAACAGACACAACGACACAACCACCCACACGCCACCGCCAACAACTCCTGGTTCCTACTACAATCTGCACGGTATGTCAGACCAGGATATTCCGTAACGTGACATCAGTCAAGTGCAACACCTGCCTTGGCTGGTGCTACTTTAGGGCATGTTCAGGTCTGCGCACCACGCGATATTGGACGAGGAACTTCGAGGGCCCGTGCCCAATTACGACGCCACCCACTACCATCACAGGGCGGCAACCTCCACAGCAGCGTACACAGTCAATGGCGGCGAGGCCACACACATCCCTTATACCCCGTTTAGCAACACGTCTCCCGAACCACATGAAGGTCCTTCAATTTAGCTGTAACGGATTTCAGAGCAAGATTGAAGAGATAACCGTCTTCATGAGAAGGCATGGTATATTGATAGCTGCGGCCCAAGAGACGAAGAATTGTGCCGGATAAAACGTGCACCGTCGAGATCGCGAGCAAGATAATGGTGGTGGCTTAGCGTTCATCACGCACCACACCGTGCAGTATCGTCTTATTGAAGCAGACATCGACCGTAGGGATACCACCCTAGAATGTCAGGACATTGCTATCCGCTCAGGCGATGTTGAGCTCGAAATATTTAACGTTTACGTACCCCCTGTCACTTGCTGCCCGGCAGGATATCATCCTGATATAGGTGCGCTCCTCAGAGGTGAAAACTGTATGGTAGTAGTTGGCTTTAATGCGCACCACGATCTTTGGCACTCAAGCCTGTCAAACGATCGTAGGGGAACAGACTTGGCTGAGCAGATAGACGATTCGACATACTGCACAATGAACGACGACGCACCCACCAGGATTATGGGCAGCTGCTGCAGCTCGCCATACATAACAATAGTCAACGCTGGTCTGATAAACATCGTATCATGGCGACCTATGTTGACTTTGGCATCAGACTATCTGCCTGTTTAGGCCAGCGGCCTAAATTTGCTACACATTTTTCGACCCACCCTAATGTATAACATAACTTAATTATTATGGTTGCTGTCGAGCAGCACACGGATTCCAACTTTCGCTATCGCTAAAATGCTAAAACGCTTAAGCTAAAATATTATCCGAATTTTTGGCGAACTCCGAAGATCGCGATTCTGTCCACCCTGTCGCTAAAAATCAAGGAATGAAACCGATTCAAAATAACGTTCCGGTTTGGGTTTCGGTTTTGCCAAGTGTTTCGGTTTCGGTTTTGGTTTCGTTCCTCAAAATTTATTTTGGTTTTGGTTTCGGTTTCGTTCCGGTTTCGGTTTTTCACAGAAATTTTGTTGATATTATTTAAATCCCAACGTCTTAAAGGTTGAGGAAAGAAAATTGAAAATTACAGTTCACTGATAATATCAACACTAGGTTCTTTCCCTAACAATCCGGACCGGATTTGGTAATTAGAGAATAAGAGAAACATTTTCTTTCAAAAATGGAACAAAGTCCAGAAGTACGGGAACGCAAAAACCACATTTCGTGCCCACAAGTCGAGAAACAGCTGATTCACGTTTTTTCTTGTTTTTGTCACTTATACCATGTTCTGACCGACATCAGAAACATGTTTTCGTTGCTAAAACTGGTTTTCGACCTAAAACTTGTGTTTTCGTTCATGTAAAATCTGTCAAACGAAAACCAGTTTTCGCTGAAAACTACACAGATACACAGCAACCACGTCATTACCAGATTCACTTAAATGTTTCCTTTTTGCTGTAAAACTAAAGGTGTATGAAAACTAAAATATAATTGTTATTTTCGTCATATATTTACTACATAATTATGAAACCCCATCATTTCTGTGTCCTTTACAACTATACACGTGAAAATGAAAATCAAAATGACTTCTTCCAAATAACCGATGCCAGATCCGAGATTTAATTTATTAGGCACCATTTTAGTGGCCTTTTTGCGAAAAGTTACCTTGACATACTTATTTACTAAATAAAACAAAATTTGGTTAAATAAATCATTTATTTTAAAGAAATTTTGATTTATTATTTTTGTAAATTTCTGGAAACCGATTGAAACCTGTGATTGAAATGGTTTCGGTATCGTTCCTTTTCAGGTTAAGATAACGGTTACGGTTTCGGTTTCGGTTTTGAAAAACGAAACGGTTTTAAACGGTTACGGTTTCGGTTTGGGTTTCGGTTTCATTCCTTGCTAAAAATTGCTTTGCCAAAATTTTAGTACTTTATCCGGCCGCCAGGAACGCTGTGCAGCAACGGCAGCGGTCAAATTTTGTTTTGATTTTAACAGTGATAAATAGTGAAAATAAAAGTAGAACATTTCAATAATTTTGGCCTATTTATTATAAATTCATATAACTTATAAGTAAAAAACTTAATAAAGTACAATCGAAGAATTAAAAATAAAAAATGTTAACAAGCCGCAATAACATTGACATATACAATCGAAGAGTTTTGGATTGCAAATTAAATAAAGTGTTTGTAAAGTGATAAGAAGTCGGTTAATTAAGCATTTTGTTGCAGCCATAAATACAAAAAACTGATGTAATGCTATTCATGAAAACCAGCAATAAATATAAAACTTAATTCACTATGCAAGCCGATTCTTAAGTTGCTAGCCATTATTTACTAAACCACACACCCAATCGTTTCTTAGAAGGACTATGGTCATATTTTATGAACAATGGTGTGGTTACTGCAAACACACGGAGCCAATTTTCGGGCAAGTTGCTCTCGAACTACATGGCCTGAATATACGAGCACGAAAACTTCTTTGTACATGATTTTCGTATTTACCGCTCGGAATGAAAATTCGTTCATATCTAACAATAATGTTTTTTAAAGCAGTGCAAAGGATCTTTTTAATGGTGATCGTATCAAAAATAGTTGGTTGACTTTTTTCTGTTTCCATCCTTCACCGGGTTTAATGGCTCCTCCACACGCGTTTAGTTTCTGGGCAAGATGGTTCCACTGCTCCAGCAAACGTTTACAACCGGACTTCATTCACGAATTTAAAAAAAGAGAACTTAAACGATTTCATTTACGAGAAAATCTTTTCCATACCTGTCATGAGATAATTCCCTGTGTTCTTCCAAATATTGAACAAGCATATATTTTTGCTCATTTGTCACCCTTCTACTGTTGCAGTTTTCCATTTTTAATATGAATTTCAACAATTTTTATTTAATCGAGTAGTTTAAACAAACAACAATCTAAATATTACCTATTTTTTGTTGATTTACTTTTTTAGCACCGAATATTTGTCGTCGTCAAATTTGCAGGCTTTTAAGCGAAAAATAAGTATTTTTAGCGATGGAAAAAACGCTGGAATCGCGATTTTAGCTGTTTGAGCTGTCAAAAACAGTTCACTCACTTTATCCGGGTTCATTTTGTTCATCGCTAAAATTTGTCAAAAAATTACCAAAAAATTGCGATTTTTAGAGTTGCATTTTCATGATAGAATCGCGAAAATTGCTAAAATTCATTTAGCACTTTTTGGCGTTGGAGTTTTAGCGATAGCGAATGTTGGAATCCGGGTGCTGTTGACTACTCTGTTAAATCTGCAATAATCAAACTTTCGTCAAATAAACAGTTCGACAAGCAACCGTAACTAAAATCAAGAACGGTTTACTTACTTCTTTTGCAAGTATCCGAAGAAGAGGACGTCATCCTGCCACCAAGCTCAGCTTTTGTATTTCAAGGTAATCTGCAATTCAAATATATGTACATATATATATATATATATACACAAGTTACTTAAGTGAATAAACACTATTATTTTTAGTTATACTAATACCAAGATTTTAATTTCTTTTCATTAAATTAATCTTCGGTGCGAACGTGCATCCAAATCTTGCTCAAGCGTTGCGCCGATGATTATGGTCCTTTGTCGCCGAGACTGAAAAAGTTTTCTTACCAGCACCAACAAGTTGTATGCCAATCAGGACAGGCTTATCCGCGAGAATACCACTCCACACAGCTCATTCGAAATACAGTGACGTTAACCACAGGAGCAGTTTAAGGATTCAAAACCTGCAGCAATTACAAACATACAGCAGCTTTTAGCAAATTCGACACCTGTATTAAAACGACAAAATAAGGTACGTGGTTAAAAATTTCACTGCACTATATTTTTTTGTGTGTAAAATTCGCGCCACAAAACTATAAATTGTGAAAAACTAATAACCAAAGTGATTTTGTGAAGTAAGAGACTTAAGTGCATTACAATATTTCATTTGCTTGTTAGCACACAAAAACATACATATGTACAAAAGTGCGCGCTACGGCCATTTCAAAAAGTTGCAGTGTATTTTAAATAAGCGTGAAACAACTTGCGACAATTTAAATTTCAGTGATTAATAGCAATATAATTAATTCACATAAAGAAAATTCTGCATAGTCATTTACATTCGTTCGTTGCTTGCATTTTGTGTTAATTCACCAACAACACTGCATCTTTTGGTTCGGTTCTCATAACCTCACTTTTTCACGGCACTTGCGCTAGCTTAGAAGCTATATTGCACTTCAGCAAATTAAATTCACAAAATCACTTTCACGTTTTGAGTTGTTCATATATGCACATAGAGTTGTCCATAAATATTAAAAAAAAATAAAGGCGCTCCATATAATTGCGGAAAATAAAATATCTTACGGGCGTTCAATTTTTGACAAAATTACATACATACATATAGACATTGTGTTTGGCGAGCAATAATTAAATACATATCCATACATACATACATTTTTATATATTTTGAACCGGTGTTAATAAACATACATACATACATATATAAAGTAAATTGGTTGCATACTTTAATTTATAAACCTGAGATTGACTTGGTGGAAAATTCTATTGGTACCATTGCTATAACCAATTGGGGTTCTTAGTAGTGTTTTTCTGTTCTTTTTGATCATTTGCGTTGGGAAATTCCGCTTTTGTTGTGTTGCTTATCCTAATCGAAGACTTTAAAGTTTTAGTAAGGTCGTATTTACAGATTAAAATTCAATATGGAGACATTCAATCGCTTAACCGACTCCGTCATAGAGTTTGATATAGATTTTATGAGTACGCCCAGCAATGAGCATTCAATATACTCGCTGAGAATTCAGCAAGCTGACCTGAAAACCCTGTGGGATAAAGCCAAAGCTCTATTTGACGAGCTTCTAATAACCGAGTCACTTTCTGCAAAGGATCTGAGTGCAATAAGAAAAAAAATAAAACGAGCTACTCAGCTTTCTTGCGCTGCATGTCGAAAATAAGCGATCTGTGTGATAGGTTAGAAAAAATAGAAAAAGAAAACGAGGACATGTCAACTCGTTCAAACAACATACATCTCCCACCCTGCGATACCTACGTATTCAAAGGTGATTACCTGACATGGCCAACTTTTCGGGACATGTTCACGGCCATTTATATTTTGAATAAACGGCTTACACCAGTAGAGAAGCTATATCACCTTAGACAGAAAACGCAGGGTGAGGCCAGGGAGATTGTTAGCAAGTGTCCCTTAACCAATGAAGGCTTTAACACAGCCTGGAAGCATCTCTGTGATAGGTACGAAAACAAGAGAATCTTGGTCAATACGCAATTGAAGATTCTCTTCAATTTGAAGGCGGTCGAAACTGAATGTGGAACATCGATAAAAAGGTTGCAAAGGGATATCAACAATTGCATATCTGCCTTAGAAAGCCATCAGATCGATATTTCAAATTGGGACCCAATAGTAACGTACTTATGTTCTACAAAACTGCCTGAGGTGACACTTTCGCTGTGGGAACAATCGGTAGAGAATAAAACTGACATTTCCAAGTGGACAGATATGGATCGATTCCTTTTTAATAGGTTCCAAACGCTAGAATCAGTCTCAGGTTTAAGAGGAATCACGGCTTCAAAACCACCAAAGGTTCCGAACTATAAGCATTCCTCTGAACCTTCGCATAAGAGACTTGGCGCATTTCAAACAAGTGTCGCTAAATATATGTGCAAAATGTGCCAGAGTAACGAACATAAGATGCATCTGTGTCCAAGGTTTCGCAAATTATCGGTAGACGACAGGGTTGCTTTCGTAAAAAACAATAATTGTTGTTTGAACTGTCTCGCCTTTGGACACTTGGTATCGAAATGCACTAGTTCGTTCAATTGCGCCACCTGCCATTCTCGACATCACTCTCTCCTACACGTTCAAACAGCACCTCCAAAGGCAACAACTAGGAATGACATTTCTGAACCTTTGGATACGTCAGCGTCCACATCCAGACAGGCTCAAATGCGACGCGAGTCTACAAAAGGCAAAGGCAAAACTGTTAATAAGGTAAAAACACATCACGCTAACACAAGCAAAGGTGTATTATTGGGTACAGCTCGTGTAGACATTAATTTTAATGGCACGAATTTCTCAGCGAGAGCACTAATTGATTCGGGCTCTGAGTGTTCTTTCATTACGGAAAGGCTCAGACGCAGAATCAACCCGCCGACCAAAAAAATGCATGCCCAAGTTTCGGGCATCAACAATACGGTTTCTGCGCAGGTGAAAGAATCATGCTCAGTTCAACTTAGGTCACCCATTGATCCACTGATTTCGATAGAAGCGATGATGTTAGTTTTACCCAGATTTACTGGAAATTTGCCAACGTGCCACATCAGCGCACTCACGCAGCAAGCTTTTCCAGACCTTGTCTTGGCGGATAAAAGGTTCTTCCTAAACGAGCAATTCGATCTTGTTTTAGGTGGAGACATCTATCCCCAAATAATTTTAGGCGGTATTCGAAAGAATGTTCTAAGTACGCTATTAGCTCAAGAGACAGTATTCGGTTGGATAATAACGGGTCGGGCAGACTCAGACAATCCAACTACTAATCGCGTATCGTTCTTTAATGAAGTGGCACTGGATAAACAACTCAGCACTTTCTGGGAGTTAGAAGACATCCCGAGAGACAGGATACTGACAGCGGAGGAAAAGCAATGCGAGGAGCTCTACAAACGAACGACAATGCGGAATCAAGATGGAAGATACATCGTGTCTCTTCCATTTAAAGACGATTTCCCATCTAAAGTCACATTAGGGCCTTCGCTGAAAAATAGCCTTTTCCCAGTTTTACAAAAACGAAAAACGATTGGAGAAAAATCTTGAGTTGCAAAAGGAGTATAATAGAGTAATCATGGAATATGAATCCCCGGGCCACATGTCGAAAGTAAATTCAATTCAGTCAGCAGATTCCGTAGACAACTATTATCTACCTCATCATTCTGTGATAAAAGCAGAAAGCACATCAACAAAAGTACGTGTAGTTTTCAATGCGTCTTCTCCAACAGCGAATGGTGTCAGTCTAAACGATGTTCTTTTGCCAGGACCCGTGCTTCAGTCTGACCTGACAATATTAATTCTTCGCTGGAGACTTTTCAAATACGTCTTCAATAGCGATATTGAGAAGATGTATGGACAAATTCTGTTAGATTCCAATCAGGCCAAATATCAACGGATAGTTTTCCGACCTTGCCCGAACGATCCCATCAGCCTTTATGAACTAAAGACTGTGACTTTCGGCGTGAACTGTGCTCCTTATATTGCAATAAGGACATTGCTGCAATTAGCTGCTGATTCTGAAAGCTCTTATCCGATAGCCTCGAATATTTTGCGCAAATACATGTATGTCGATGATGTTCTCGCTGGCGGACACACCATCGACTCTGCGATACGAGCTAGAGACGAAGTCATTACGGTTTTACAATCAGCCAGTTTCCCTCTTCGAAAATGGACTTCGAACTGCAGCCAAATACTACAAGGCATTCAAAAATCACATCTGTTGAGTGAAGATTTTCTGGAGTTCGAGGACACTAGCAGCGGGAAAGCGCTTGGTATAAGATGGAATGCTCTCTCTGATCAATTCTATTTTAAAGCCAAGTCTATCGAAAACCTCGAGAATCTTACAAAGAGATCGATACTCTCAGATATCGCCAAACTTTTTGATCCACTTGGATGGCTAGCACCGATAATTGTTGTTGCGAAGATACTAATGCAAAACATCTGGTTAGAGGGTACCGACTGGGATGAGAATGTATCTCGAACAACATTAGACAGATGGCAGACTTTCACGAAAAACTACAACGAAATCAACAACATACGTATTCCTCGATGGGTAGAATTCTCGCCAACGGAGAAAGTCGAAATTCATGGATTTTGTGATGCATCCGAAAAGGCATACGCGGCTGCAGTCTACTTGCGCGTGGAACGAGACAAACGCACTTTTGTCAATTTGCTGTTGGCAAAAACTAGAGTTGCACCAGTAAAAACAATTTCCTTACCTCGATTAGAACTTTGCGGGGCGGTATTACTGGCAGAAATCATCGAATCGGTCATCAATAATCTCGACTTAGGCCACTTGCAGATACACCTTTGGACTGATTCCACTATTGTTTTGGCCTGGATCCGCAAACCCCCATGTTCGTGGTCTACATTTGTAGCCCATCGTATTACCAAGATAATCGACAAAGTGGGAAACTTGAATTGGCACCACGTGGACTCAGCAACAAATCCCGCAGACTTGGCGAGCCGAGGCATACTAGCGCAAGAATTGGTCAACAATTCGTTGTGGTGGCAGGGACCTTCTTGGCTGCAAGAAGATAAAGAAAAATGGCCAACACAAGACACAGACTTTACCACAAACATTGAAGAGAAACGGGTGAACGTTCATACAACAACAACGAATGACAACACAAATGATATTCTTGACCGATTTTCTAGCTTACCAAGAGCTTTGAGAGTAATATCTTACGTCTTAAGATTCTCTCAAAGAACTCATCCGAAAACAAAAGCTTCAATTCAGCCGGAATCGTACTTAATTTCAGCCGATGAAATTAAGGCAACGACAACCCGCTTAATAACAATCTCTCAGAAGCAACACTACGGACTGGAAATCGCGAAATTAAAATCTGGAGGACCGATCGATGCGAAAAGCGAAATATTGCCCTTAAATCCTTTCATCGACAAGAACGGTGTATTGAGAACAGGTGGTCGTCTTGGCGCATCTCTCGATCTGGCATACAACGAACGTTGCCTAATCATCCTTCCGTATAATTGCAGGTTATCACGTCTGACTGTCCAATTCGTCCATGATGTCTTACTCCACGGTGAAAACCAACTAATGCTGCGTCTCATCCGAACGCAGTATTGGATTCCGAAGGTCAAAACTATGATAAGGTCCATCATCTACAACTGCAAGATCTGCACGATCTTTAAGAAACGCTCGCAAAATCAGCTGATGGGTATTCTTCCACAGGAACGATCAACCTATTCACGGCCATTTACCAACACAGGAGTGGATTTCACTGGGCCTTTTGATATAAAAAGTTACCGCGGGCGCGGTTGCGGTATTTCAAAAGGTTATGTTTGCCTGTTTGTTTGCTTTTCTATCCATTTAGAGGCCACAAGCGACTTAAGTACAGCTTCCTTTCTAGCAGCTTTTAACAGATTCGTTGCCAGACGAGGGTGCCCAAAAAACGTCTATTCAGACAACGGGACAAACTTTGTTGGAGCGTCACGAGCACTTAAAACAGAACTCAAAGCCTTCATAGCTGATGCTCGCACAAACGCTCTATCAAAGTTTACCCATCAAGCACTGTCTTGGCATTTTATACCGCCTGCGGCGC